GGATCCCTATACAGGGATGGCCGGTTAGCTCACTGGCTGAGCGTGGTGCTGACAACACCAAGTCAAGGGTTAAGATCCCCTTACTGGTCATCTTTTAAGATAGATAGATGATAGATAGATTAGATAGATTAGATAGATAGATAGATAGATAGATAGAGGTAAAATACATAAGACAAAATGTACCATCTTGATCATTTTACAATTTTTAAGCGTCCAGGTGAATACTTTTAAGTACACTGACGTTGTCATGCAGCCAATCTGCAGGTTTCCTGGCGGTGAAATTTTTTCTCAATCTGCCAGTGATGTGTTTTGTATTAGCAGGAATCTTTGAGTTGCAGGGACAGAAACTCTCATTTAAACAGGCTTGGAAAGAGGCAGGAGGGAATGTTTTGGCTTATGGAATCAAAGTCCAGCAGTAATTATGTAATTTCAGGAATGGCTGAAAAATCTAGGTGCTCAAACCAAGTCGTCAGGAGTTTCTCTTTTCTTGCACACCCACTTCCCCCAGTCTCTCTTTCCCTCCTGCCTGTTCTACGTTTTTCTCTATTTGCCTCATTCAGGACCGGCTCACTGTCCTCATTGGGGGGCTCCAGCACTTCCCTCCAGGCCCGTGGGCCTGCTCAGCTCAGCCGCATGATGAAAGAAACCACCTCTCTCCTGGCAGCTCTGGCAAAAATGCCGAGATGAGATTCACTCTGATTGCCTGACTAGGGCTCATACTTTTCGTAGCAGCAAACCCCAGCAGGAGGGAGATGGACTGGGCTGATCAGGGACTCATCCTTTGATTGAGGGTGTGTTACCTCCAGCACGTAGGGAGTAGTGGTCCTCAAAAGAGAACAGTTGCCTTCAGGCCAAAGAGGCAGTGAATTTTGGGCTGGGCACAAAACATCTGATGTTCAACATAGAAAATGGAGGGGCTCCAAGACTGTGTGAAGTGCCTGTGGCAGCCATGGGCCCAGAACCCCGCACGGAGGAGGGACCCAGGCAACAGCTGCTGAAGAGATAATAATATGCTTGCCAGGGCTTTGTATATTTCTTCTAAAACTTTTTCTACACACGTACGCACATATTTACTTCTAAAATTAAGATCATCTTGTAAATAATCTTCTGTAACCAGGCCTTTTTACTTAATATGTTCTTTATTAAACATTTTTCAAAGTTGTGAATTTTTTTTTTTTTTTTTGGTGTGTGTGTGTGACCGGTAAAGGGATCGCAACCCTTGGC